AAACTGTACCAACACATTCACTTTCCTACATCCTCCTGGCCATTAATGGGTTTCCACGGAAGAGGTGACGGCGAAGATGTTTCTCCCTATTAGAAAGCACTGAATCAAGATCTTTAAAATATTCATGCAGACCTACATAATCCAGTGCCTTAAACCACAAGGTGATATGCTGTATAGTATTGCTTTATTCTCATTCCCATTATCACCCAAAGAGCCTGTGACATATTTTCCAGTTACAACTTGCACCTTTAATTAAAGCACACGTTCAGCTTTAGGACTAAAGACTTGCAGATCAGTCTCAGAAGAGCAGGCAGCACTTTAATTATTTCCAATACCAGTTTTGCCTAAACAACGTGACTTAAGAATACGACTTAAGAGGCCAATAGTTTCCTTTTCAGCAGTTGGGTATTTTTGACAGTAGGGTCTCACTCAATCTTTACTGTTCCGTTTTGCCACACCTTGAAGGGAAACAATTTGCATTCCCTTTATATTTGCAAATAGAACACAATCCCTTTTGGGCTAAGAAACAGCCAGCATCTTTGGAAAGGCGATGCTATTGTGGCAAATGGCACTCACCTCCTGAAAAAGCGTAGACATTTCACAGACCAGACATGAGCTGGGGCTTTGCATTTCACATTTGTGCCTGTCGGAGAGGAAGAAATCTCGCAGCAGTGGAGTGTGGGTAAGTGCCTGGACAATACAGTTCATAAAACATGTGTTCCCAAGATTGATTAGCCCTCGTAGACCTATAAAGACAGAAGGGGGAGGGGATGCATAAGCATTATCAAGTTAACAAAATAGTATATTTGCATTTTTATATAGTTTTCACAATATTGCCAGAGATTTACTGTATATGCACAGCTCCAAGTACACAGTTTTATATTGCTTTAGGTAGGCTATTGGTTTTGATGTACTCAAGTCACAAGCTGCCACTAGCAATTGTTTTTTAAATTTTCAGAAAAAAGAAAGGAAATCTCAAAGTACAGCAACACCAATAGCATTATTTTGCAATGGCTGTTTTGCCATATGTCATCAACATGTGCCCCCTCCCCAAGCTGATATCAAAGTGCAATAACAACAACTGGGAAGTCACTACAGTGAGAAACCAATAGATTTAAATAAATCAGTAAATAAGTTTTCAGATAGTTTAAAAGGCTTTCCCTCATGCAGGTCACATTTTTGTGCTGTTGTAACACACAGTTTTTTGCTGTTATAATGCAACAATCATCTTTCTAAGACAGGCAGCAAAGGAAACAGCCTGACAAAACTGAGTCAGGCTGCGACATCCAATGAAGACTCAGCATATCCTTTTTTTTTTGTGTACAAAACCCGACATTCGAACAAGATAACCTTAAAGAGAAACTCCGAACAACACTAGTTCCACACTTGTTTTAGCTACGTTAAACATTAATCTACAGTATACATCAAAAAATTCAACTTGGCATAAGAGGATTCATCACACCTTAAGTCAAAACGTTCAGTAATGCCCAGAGACGATTTCTTGTGCTTGGAAACCAAGACGCTTAAAGGAAAGCTCTTTTGTTGCACAACAGAAGAGAGGTTAGAAGTGGGGAAAGCTTTTCAGTCATTTGCAAAGTCTAAGTGAGAAGAAAAACATGCTCAAATCCTCGAGTATTCTTCCAAAACGTTAACATAATACCACCATACAGGAGTGCTAAACAAGAAGAGCATCAGGTGGACAAGAATGCTTATTTTTAATCAAAAACTTACTTGGAAACAAGATAAAATACACTGACAGATACAATTCTGGTATTAATTTAAAATTAACATAGTCCTCTTCTGCAATATAAATGGGATTACTAAACAAAGAGTGAACAAAAAAACCCAGGATTACTTGACAGAACGAAGAATTTCCTTGCTGTTCCATAGTGGGGGGGAAGTATCAGCTGGCAATGCTGTGGTAATTAAAAATGGTGCAGTTCCCTTGCAGTACACCAGATAGTGCTCAAAGAGCCATTTGAGCACTTTCAGCA